GAGCAGGCAGGTTGCTGAAGCGTGCATCCTGTATGAATCGCGAGACAGTCTCGAGCGACAGCGCGATTACCAAATACATCGTGAGGAAATCCACAGCGAGAGCGTGATTCCTGAGTGTCGAGGGCGCGGCGGCTGAATTTATTGCGACGAAATCTGACGCGACAGCGCAATGTTCCAATCCGTTGTGAGGTAGTATCGGGCGGGAGCCGTTGTTGTTGTAACTCGGGTGCCAAAGGCGTAGCTTGACGCTCAAGACTTTCCTTGATCAAGAACAGGGTGCGAGCCCCGGGATGAACACTTCAACTGAGACAATAAAATGTGCACCGGGCGGGGGGATCAACACTACTAATTCAGCAATGAGACTTCAACACCAACAGCAGCACAACAACACCACCACCACCACCACCAACAACAAAAGCAACAACAACATAAGCAACAACACCAGCAGCAGCAGCAGACGCAGCAAAAATAACAGCAAACATGTGAATACTGTTCGATCTTATCTGCTCGTGGGCCGCTCAGCACGCATATCCCAGACCCGCGATACCCGCCCTCTTCGTCTCCGATCGCATTCCCTCAGGGGTATACCTTTCTTACCTGCAGCGTGTATTTCGTACTGTCCCTAAGGGAGGGGAAGAGAGGACGGATGGAAGGAGGAGACAAAGGGAAGGGAGAAGGATGGAGCACGAGGGAGATTGACAGGAGGGGGGCTAGGACCAGAAAACACGTGGCAGAACCAGACGGGCAGATCGGGCGGGTAGACTCTACTGGGCGGGTCGGGAAGGCGGGCCCAGGCGGCCAGACCGAGCAATCCTGTATGAATCGCGAGAAAGTCTCGAGCGACAGCGCGATTACCAAATACATCGTGAGGAAATCCTCAGCGAGAGCGTGATTCCTGAGTGTCGAGGGCGCGGCGTCTGAATTTATTGCGACGAAATCCGGCGCGAGAGCACGATTCCTGCATCCAGATCTGCACTCAGTGGCGTCTAAGATGCACGATATGTAATCTAAGCTGGCCCAAACTGGGCTTCGACACGCCGAGGAATCTCCAGAAACACACAAGGTGGCTTCAAGACAGCCCGAGAGGCTTCGAATACGCCCGAAAAGGCTCCCCAACATGTCCCCAAGAGCGTCCCAATAGGCAGACAGCGTCCCAAACCCTTTCGAAACACATCAGGTTTAGCAGGTTCGCCATCTCGATTGGAACAACGGCCCGCAAGATTGCCCTAACGTGGCACAAAAGGCCCCCAAGAGGACCTGAAGACAGCCCAAGAGAGCCCCAGCGACCACGATTGCTAAAGAGGACCTCAACAGGGCTCCTCCTTGTCCTCCTTGTCTTCCTCCTCCTCCTCCTCCTCCTCTCCTCCTCCTCCTCCTTCTCCTCCTCCTCCTTCTCTTCGTCTCATTCCTCTTCTTCTTCGTCTTCTTATGTTTATACTCGATACTCTTATCATCATCATCATCATCATCATCATCATCATCATCATCATCATCATCATCATCATCATCATCATCGTCATCATCATCATCATCAGCAGCAGCAGCATCATCAGCATCATCGTTCGAACTGTCATTATCAGTAATATTAGTAGTTGCCTTCTTCGACTTATTTGGGGTACCATTAACATTACTTATATAATTAGTGGTATTTTTCCGATTATGATAATCAGTAGTGTTATTAGTGTGCTGCTTATGATTCGTCTTACTAGTATTGCTATTATTATGATAACTACTCTCAGTATTATTATTCCTCCTATTATAATTACTACTATTATTATTATTTTTCGTCCTCCCCCTCCCTCCTCCCTCCTCCCTCCTGCCTCCTCCCTCCTCCGTCCTCCTCCGCCTCCGCCTTCGCCTCCGCCTCGGCCTCCGCCTCCGCCTCCTCCTCCGCATCCTCCTCCTCATGTCCTCATGCCGTCCTCATATTTCTGAACTCACCTTGCGCCCATCCCCCCTCCTCTTGACCAGGCCCTGCATAATCACCCATGCACGGCATGAGAGGCCCACGTACCATGCGGGGGCTCTGAAGTCGTGTTTTTGGCTGTTTTCGATTTTCTCGCCCTGGTTGTTTTTTTACGGGGGGGGGGGGGTCGGCGGAATGGAGTAAGCCTCGTGAATCATCGATGAAGTTGTTGGATGAAGGATGGGGGAAGATGGGGGAAGAAAATGGACACGAATTTGGGCATCAGGGCGCAGGCCTGTCGGGACCCCAAGGGTGCCCCAAGCGGCCCCGAGAGGCTCCTAAGACGGCCTCAGCCTCAGAAGGGGCCAGACGGCGGAAGAGCGCCCCAAGACGCCCCCAAGATTCCCCAAAGGCCCTCAAAAGGCGCCCCGAAGGCCCCCAAGAAGCCTCCAAGAGACCCCCAAGGAGGTTCCCAAGAATCCCCACAACGACTGGACTGTACGTGGTCCGGAAGTGCATCCCGCGAAGCGCGAGGAGTCATCGATGATGTTGTTGGATGAGGGGGAAGAAAAAGGACACGAATTTGGGCATTAGGGCGCGGGCCCGTCGGCCACAACTCCGCTCTGGACACTGGCCGACTCGATCCAAAATCCGCGCACGCCCCAGCGGGGCAGCCGAACTGCCGCAATGCACGAGGGGATTTGGACGCTCGAACTGGGTACGGAAAAAGTGGGCACGATGCCCATCAACAAATGTTGTCCAAAACCGGCAGCGGCCGCTGCTGGGCAGGCGGCCTTTTTGCCTCAAACGGACCGCAACCGCGGCGACACCGACAGCGAGCCCTGTTCAAAACACGGACAGGAACTGCCGAACTGCTGTCGGTGGTCTTCGTACTCATTCTGTCAGTACCCATTTCGGTCGCACGGAGGAGAAATCGCCACTTCCCGCCGAATCGGGCCGGGCACGCGCGCCAGAGCGACCAAGAGGTGCAGGGAGGGGCAGGCGAGCCCAGACTCAAACCGATAACCGATAAGCCGGGTCGGCAATCGAAACGAATCGGATCGGCGGAAATCGGCCAGCTAATCAGGCCTCCATTGAGGCATCGGAATCCAAACTGGAATCCGAAGTCGAATCGGATCGGAATCGGAAGCCATCGACATCGAATCGAATCGGAGGACTCGGAGGGAGCCCCGAGGGGGGGGGCGAAACAGGAAGCTGATGGTGGCGTGGGGGGGGGGCGAAACAGGGAGCTGATGGCGGCGTGGGGCGCCACACTTTTTGAGGTTTCAAAGGCAAGCTGCCCTGCTGAGCCCTTGCGCGGTGGGAGAAGGACCGACGACGACGACGGCGACGACCACGACGAAGCTGACGCTGCCGCTGAGGACGACGACGACGACGACGACGACGACGACGACGACGACGACGACGACGACGACGACGGCGGCGGCGACAAGCGCGGGACCGAGACGATACAACGCCTCGGCGCGGCGGGGGACCGAAGGGGCGGAGGACGGGGAGACGGAGCGGGGGAGCGACGGAGGGACGCGGGTCGAGCCTCCACCCCCCGCTGCCTCGGCCCTCGATCCTGAGGCCTCCAGCCCTCGAGGCTCTGTGCTCGGTCCCCCAGCCCTCGATGCTCCAGCCTTCGATCCCTCCGAACCCTCGATCCTCCCCCCCTCGATGCTTCCGAACCTCGGTCCCTCGAGGCGAAGAATGGTGGAGGGGGGTCAGGACAGGCTAAGTCCAGACGGAGTAAGCCCAGACGGAGGCCAATCACTCCGTGCGGACTCCCCTTCCGCACGGAATCAGCATCCTGTCGGGAGAGGCGAAGTCCAGACGGAGTGAGCCCAAACGTAGGCCGAGCACTCCGTGCGGGCTGTCTCCGCTCGGAATCAGCATCCAATCGGAGAGGTTAAGTCCAAACGGAGCATAGGAAACCAAAAGGTACCGATCCCGCTACTCCTTGGACCTCTCCCAGGGTGCGTTCTGACCATGATTTCGATGCGAATCCAGCGGTGACGACGAGGGTCGCCCAGGAGGCCTCAAAAAGGGAAAGCGAGGCGAGGGTAGCGGTATGGGCACCCCTCTTCCTCCGAGAATGCACTCCGTACGGACTTCCTCCGCACGGACTTGGCATCCTCCGAGGGGGGGCGGCGGGGCCGAAGGCCTCGAGATGTGAGCAGCTCCGGAAAAGCCTGTGCACGCCTCGCCCCTCTCGATAGGCTCCTCGGGCTTACGTGCGCCTGGCGCGGGGAAGAGGAGGAGGGGGTGGAGAAGGATGGGGAAAAGAGGAGGAGGAGGAGCAGGAGGAGGGTAAGGGGGAGGGAGGAGGAGGGTGAGGATGAGGAAAGGGAAGGAGGAGGGATGAGGCGGCGGAGGAGGAGGAGGAGGAGGAGGCAGGAAAAAAGGAGGACGGCGGAGGGGCAGGGGGGAGGTAGGAAGAGGAGGAGAAGGCCGCAGAGAAGAAAGGGGGACGGCCAAAGGAAGAAAAAGAGGAGGAACATCATATACCTTGTTGAAGACCTTCTCTTCGCGGGGCAATCAAGGACCTTGATGATGAAACAAAAGGTCAGCAACGGACCGCCAGACTCCGTTCAAAGCGCTTCCGGTATCGATCCGGCCCATCCAAACCTCAGCCCAAACTACGCTGGCCCTAGGGGGGCGTGATACAAGTTGTTAAATTGGGCGCCTGCATAAGAAAGTCCACACCCTCGGCCCAGTGCCCCTGATACCAGTCCCAACCGACCCCAAGACGCCGACCTGCAAGTTTGAACTTTCTTGCATGATGCGTGCCATGGAAGGACGGACGGGGAGGAGGGAGGTCAGTCAAGGAGGGAGGGAGGCGGGTACTGTGCACTGCCCGTAGGAGGCGAAGGGGAAGAGGATGAACATGAACACGGGCAGAAGGAAGCGCAGCAGCAGCAGCATGAGGACAACGACGTCGACAACAACGACGACGAAAAAAACCAACACGACGAAGACAAAGACTAGAACGGCGACGAATGCGAAACCGAGGCCGAAGAGCAGCACCGGCAGCACAAGGCGGCGGCGGCAGCAGGGGCAACGCACGCTGGTCTGGCCTCCGTCTGGAGTGTCAGACACTGCAAGGAGATCTCTGGCAGGACCACCGCTGTCCCGGCGCGGCACCGCCGCCCCTGGGGCCACGTGCACCTTTCGGCCGCCGACGGGAGCGCCACGGGCGACGACAATGGGAACCAGAAAGGACGGAAGAGAGGGAGAAAGAGAGAGAGGGAGAGAGGAGGGTTGAGCGAGGGAGGGAGCGAAGGGAATGGCGGCGCAGGGTAAGGGCAAAACTAACCCCGAGGGACGGCCGCCTCGCTCACTCTCACCCGCCCTCCCACTATTACACAGGTCGCATCCGATGTCTCAGCGTTGGCGGAGGCCGCCGTCGACAATCACAAGGAAGAAATGCAAACGCCGGTCAGGGTCGAGACGCCCGCGAAGTGCGCCACGCGTGCCAAGTCACCCCCGTCATCCCTGTCAGAGACTCATTCACTGAAGCGTTGTGTTCGCTAGAATTCTCGCACCGATCGGCTCAGATCTCTATCATCCCTGACAAAACGATGTCACGTACACGCGACGTATCAGCGTGGATGACTTCTGGGTCCCGCAGCGGATTCGCTCGGACTTCGGTGCGCCACGGACCATCCCAACGGACGGGCGGGCCCGCGTGCATGTCTTGCCCGCGAAGACGGAGCAGCCCCGGGACAAACGCATGACACGGCAGTCCTGCACCCACTTGTTGTTCTGAACGCGCAACATCAAATCGGTCAGGCTCCCTGGGCGCCACAGAACGCGCTACGCCCAACTTTCTAACATGCAAACGAATTATGAGATCCCTCCCGTTTGATTGGCAGTGGTTGCGGATGACGTGTGCTCGCCCCGCGTGGAAACTAGCCAAAGTCTCGTCCATTAACGAAATGCTGGCAACCATCTTGTTGTGATGGGTGCTCCATGCGTTCAATGCTGTCTTGACCATTGGCCAGCATGCCGCTCTGTAGCCGATGATCCCGCATGAGATCGGATACCACGGCTTGAATATTTCAGCTGTCGGCACGCGCCGGCTCGGCAGCACCCTCGGGTTGGCCCAGAACGCTCTCCAGGTGGACTGCTGTGTGGGCGTCGTGCACTGAGAAGCTGCGCCGTGGCGGCAAGGTACCATCATCCCCAACGCCTTCATGTCTGGCACGTGCCGCCAATGTGCCACATGACGTGTGCGGTTCAAATGTGCTCGGCGATGACGTGACGATCTCGCGGCGCTGGTTTGATGCGGGACGGGCCCCCCATGGTCAGAGACTCTTCGAAATCAGCCGTACTACCAGTCACCAAACGTGAAGACATTGTCCGACCAGAGCATGATCGACAGGAAAGCAACAGCGTCAAGCTGAAAACCTCCTCTGCTCCGAACATCGCTCAAACGCAACACAGCATCCGTTCTCCGTAGCAAGGCGGGCAAACAAGCATGCTGTGTGCGACCTGGTGAGCAGCCTTTTCTCGCTGTATTGGCTTGGTTACGATATCATACGAGATCTCCACAGCGCAGGCGCACCAGAGTGCAGGCGTGCAGCTTGAGCGCTGCAACTGCCACTGCCGGATCAAGACCTCTTCCGATTAAACTCTGGCACGTGCGACCCCCATGGAATCGTGTCGTGGTAGCAATATTGCCCTGCACTGCTGCTGCTGCCCCCCGCCAGTCCAGGCCGTTTTCGACCACCATCGATACGGGGAACAATGCATCCATTAGCTGCTGGCCCCTGCCGCTGCCCAGCACTATTGCGTACATTCTTTGCTGTGCTCCATGCGTTGAGGCATGGCCCCAGCACCGCAGCCATTGCGCTCTGAGCTACTGCAAGCATGGCCCCTTGAGGCACGAACCCCCGAATGCGGCTAGGGGTGATAGCGCCCCGCTCCTCCCACTCAGCTGGAGCATGCGCCGAAAAATACGGCCAATCACCGCGTCCGTTGATAACGTCATCTAGGTGCACTTTGAGAACCGGTCTCGCGACGGAGCAAATGACGAACGGTTTCAGACAGTCCCTGGTCGTCCAGCACCACCCTCCGCTTGCATGCAAGTAGGCCCTCAATGAACGCATGGCCGTCGAAGTCGAAGTCCCCCCCCGTGAGAGTAGTATAACTTATCCAACAGAGCCGCGTCCGCTGTATCCACAGAGCCGCGTCCGCGGTATCCACCGTCGATCGACATCAGTTTGATATTGTAGGTCTTCTTGCGCCTCGTCGCAGCGCTCTAACCTTGCTTCGCCCTCCAGATGGTACGAATTTCAGCCTCGTCCCGCAAGAACTGACGACGCCTGGATACGATGAGCTACCCAATCTCTGCTCTGAGGCGGCCGTCAAGAGTAGTGCGGTGACGACGCCTGATTTCCTTCAAATCCGGTGGCTCCATGTGAGCTCGCTGCATCTTCGCGGATTTCGCAGTCTGGAAGAGCTGCATTGACTTCCTGACTGCTTCCCTCAGCTGGTCAATGGTGTCGGCCCCTTGCAGGGCAAAAGCCTCGTCGTCGACGCACTGCCTCATTTTTCTGAGTTTGGCTTTTGCCGGGGACGGTGCAAGGAGCCGTAATAATTGCCACGCTTGGTCCGCAACTCGCATGTTGTGGGTCCTCTAAGCGTCGACAATCATGGACTCAAGCACAGGGGTATGTGACGGCCCCGTCACAACAAAGTGCAAGTGCATCCGATAATGAATCATCCCTCGCATCGTTGCCATGCGCCCGTGTGAAACTAAAATGTCTACGCCCTGGTACTCGGGAACCGCATCATCAGCGACTGGGGAGGCTGGAGAAGGGAAGCGGAATTTGATCAGCCCACAGTGGCCCTCCCCAAACACGCCCGTCATCCAGGACGCGCGTCCGAATGCACCAAAAACTTGAAAGCTCGTCTGCCTTCCTCTGGCCACTGTGCCAGTGTCGAAAAAATGCGTGCTCGCGAGCACTAGGATTATGACTGACTGATGCTTGTGGCTCCTGTCAAATAACAGATCAACACGATCGCGGGGCGCCCGCATTTGCTCTGCATGGCTTTTGACAGAGATGGTGGACCGCAAGGCTATACGCTGGCACGCCCACCGCCGCTGTCACAAAGCAATGCGAAGTGATCGCGGGGCGCCAGAGCATAATCCAGATTTCGCCGCAAAGCTCATTTTGCAATATGTTTTGGCACGGATGGCAGGGGGGCAGTGGGGGCCAGTAGAGTGGGGGAGGGGGTGTATACGAATAGGGAGGAATGATCCAATTCCCAGCGGGAATGCCGCAGGCAGTCTCGCTCACTCCCATCCGCCATCCCATCACATGAGAGGCATTCGAGTCTCAGCATAGCCAGGGGCCAGCATTAGATGGATAGCCACTGGAAACCAAAACGCGCGCCAGGTACGCGACGCTCGCACGGTGCGCGGCACGTGCCAGGTGCGCCACGCGCACCCGGTGCGCCAGGTACCCCATGGGCCCAAGTGCGCGAAGCGCCCCTGGTGCGCCAAATCCGCCACATGCTCCACATGCGCCACGTGTGCCACGTGCTCCATTCACGCCGGGAAGCAGTGTGCGCGGCGCGCACAGATGTGCCATGCACGGGCACACGTGACCGCACACATCAAGAAACATGTCGACCCCCCCTCATTCCCTGTCGAAAACCAGTGCGAAGTGGAAGCGGGGTGGTCAGTATGGTGCATAGTGTGTGCACCCGCAATCACTTTGCGCTTGCTTTTGGCAAGAGTGCCTTGCCCACTCACACCAGACAATATGCGGGCACCCCAGCAGACCGTGTCAAAAACAACATGTAAAACGATCTCAGGGCGCCTGCGCATGGTCCAAAAATTTGCCGCAATTTGCCCTTGGAATTTGCTTTTGCCAAGGGGGGTGGGGTGGGCCTGCATTCACCTGGCAAAACGATGATCCCCCCGCCATCCCTGTCAAAACCAAGGCAAAGTGATCGCGCCCCCCGCGCGCATGGCCCAAAATTTTGCCGCAAAGAGCACTCCGTACTTTCCCGAACAGTGATTTGCGGCTAATGGAGTCGCCGTCGCCGCCCCGTCGCCGCGTCGTCGTCAACCGTCGTCTGGGCCTGGGGGTTGGTCTGGCGGCTATGTCGTCGCCGTCGCCGCGCCGCCCCGTGGCCGCCCCGTGGCCGCCCCGTCGCAGCCTCGTCGCCCTCAGTCGTCTGGGCCTGCATCGCTTCGCATTGCTTTGCATTGCTATGCCGTGCTTTGCATTCCAACGCATTGCTTTGCATTGCTTTTCATTATTATGCCGTGCTTTGCACTGGTCTGCACTGTTTTGCATTGCCTGCCTTGATTTGTATACTTGTGCATAGCTTTGCATCGCTTTGCATTGCACTGCAATGCAATCGCACTGCTTTGCAATCGCATTGCATTGCATTACTTAGCATTGTGATGCGCTGATTTGCATTGCTTTTCATCGTGTTGCATTGCTGTGCGTTGTTTATTTGTATCGTGTTGCACTGCTTTACCTTGCTGTTGGTTGCTTCATGTTGCTTTGCGTTGCTTTGCATAATTGTGCGTTGCTTTGCATTGCTTGTTTTGTGTTGCTTTGCATTGCTATACATTGAGTTGCATTTCCTTGCATTGCGTTGCCTGGTTCTGCACTATTGCTCTGCAATGCTATGCATTGCTTTGCTTTGCGTTGCTCTGTATTGGTTTGCATTGCGACGCAGAGTTTTGCATTGCTTGCTTAGCATCGCTTAGCATCGCTTTGCATTGGTTTGCTGCTCCGCATTGCGTTGCTTGGCTTTGCATTGCTTTTCGTTGCATTGCTTTGCATTGCTTTGCATGTCATAGCACAGAAGGGCCGGCTTTCTCAGAAGGCGGCGGGTCTTCTCAGAAGCACTCGCACCTTCTGAGAAACCTTATTCTGCTTCGGGAGAGACTTAGTAGGCCACTCAGAAGGCACGAGAATTTTTGGGAAGCCCCGCCGCCTTCTGAAAAAGCCGGTCCCCTCTGCCTTCGATCCGAGGCACGCCGCCGAATCATGCGACTGACTCAGGATGCGTTTCAGGAGTTCCAGAGTATCTAGCGGAGCATCAACAACAGAAACTGGTAATTAATGTTGGAACGTGTCATTCTCATGACTTACTGCTCCTCTGAAGCCCACCTGCATAGAGGAACAAACACTTGCGTAAACAGAACTTCTCCGAGGTCCGCGCGGAGCGCGCCAGGGACAGCGACGGAGGCGCCTCCAGGGGGACCCAGCCCCGATCCAAGAAATCCACGAGGAGCTCAGAGAAATTATGTATGTGTCGTTTTTTCTTCTGCGACGAAACCTACCTGGAAGAGCTGGGCCACTGCATCCACCTTCCGCTCGGCAGGGGTCGATGCCAGCACCGAGCTCATGCTGTACATCGTGGCCGCGCCTAGGACGGCAGCCAGCGCACGGCCGAGCCGAAGGTCCGCATTGGCGCACCAAACCCGTCAAAGCCTGGAGCCTCGACTTCGACGACCTCCGCGTGCAGGACTTCCGCGTGCCGCTCGACCCGTACGGCAGCTGCGTGTTGTGACGACCCAGGCTCGTTCCATCTCATCTGTACCGATTCCGGGCCGCTGGCGGCGTTCATTCTTGAACGCACGCGCTGGGGCCACCTCCGCGTCGACACGACGCGAACGTACCATACGTGGAGCCCTGAGCTGGGCGCGACTGCGCCTTCACCAACGCCCTCGCACTGGACACCCTCGCCCTCGGCGGAGCAGCTGGCAACTGGACTGCCAGCAACCGCTGGCCTCCGGCAACACCGTCAACCTGGTTACCGCCAGGAACCCTCGTAGAGCTCTTGGGAGTGTTTTCTTGACACCAGAAAGGCTCATAATGCAAAAGAGAAGCTTCTGAGAGCATTCTTAATCATATTGAGAAAATGCATGTTTGGGAGTTTCAACATGCAGTACGACTATGGTTTCAATAACATTTTGCAGCTGCAGCCATGATATCAAGACATAATCAATTCAGAGCCTCCTACAGGGAATGAAAACCTGAATTCTTCAAAAATGAGTGGTCAAATCTTGGCGCAATCTTGCACTGGAAGCTGGCGGTAAACCATCGACCTGGTCACCGCAGGAACCCTCGTAGGGCTCCCTGAAATGATTTTCACACGAGGAAGTGCTGAACATGCCACTGGACAATTTCCGAGAGCATCCCCAAAACATCGAAAAACATGATTCTCGAGTGTCGCCATAAAGTCGGTTCCGGGAAGTCTTCTGATGGGCAAATTTCAGCTAGAACCGCGAGACTAAGACAGAAAAAGCCTCAGGACATCTCATGACCCAGTGATAGTTACCCATTGTGTGTGAGAGGAGACAACGGATTCTGAAAGCGAACTTAAACATCCCGAGCTGTCTTTCAATAACCCGGCCCTGATGGTCACATTGTGCGTTCTGGTCGGGTCGGCCAACTGGCTCCACCCTGCGCCCACACTCCCCTCAGGCTCCCATCTCAGGCCCAGGTCACCGCATCTTCCCTTCTCCTGCCGCCCCTTGGAAGAATCAGCACCAGACCTCTCCTCGGGCGCGCTTGCACTTGTGGCTCACCCGCGCGCGCACCAGCCCCGACCCAGCCTGCCTCTCGTCGGCCCCAGCTGCTGCTTGGCCAGCCCACGGATGAACGCCGTCAGGCGGAACACCCAGGAAGCCAGGAGGAGCAGGAGAACGATGCAGGAGAGCGGAGACGTATGAGTGCCCTCCTTCGGCTATGCTCATAGGCACGCAGCCCTCTTCTGCTCCGATCCTCCACCTCCCCAACTTCCTCTACCCTCCCATACGTCATCCCCTCCCCGTCCTCTTTCTGCCTCGCCTCCGATCCCCACCCCTCCCCTTCCTCTTCCTCCCACCTCCCCTCCTACCCTTCTCCTCCTCCTCCTCCTCCTCCTCCTCCTCCTCATTCCCCCCCGCCTAATCCTCCTCCTCCTCCTCCTCCTTCTCCTCCTCCTCCTCCTCCTCCTCCTCATTCCCCCCCGCCTAATCCTCTTCCTCCTCCTCCTCCTCCTCCTCCCCTGAGATCCCTCGATCCCTCTCATGTCCTCCTCCACTCCCTATTCTTCCCCCTCCTCCCCCTCCGGCAAGGACAGTCGCTAGAAAGAGGCGGGAGGCGGAGAATGATGAGCAGGAGGGGGAGGTTCACCGCACTGCCCATGGAGGAAAAGGTCAGGGAGGGAGATGGAGGGAGAGAAGGGAAAAGAGAGTGGGGCCGCCCATCAGATGGGAAGTGGCAGGAGAGCGAAGAGGAGGAGGAGGAGGAGGAGGAGGAGGAGGAGGAGCGGAGGGGTTGGACAATGAGAGGGATGCTGATGAACAGCCCTCGCGTTGCCTGAGCCCTCCTCCTCCTCCTCCTATCCCTCCTCCTCCCCCTCCTCCTCCAGCCCCGAGGGCCGCAAGGCTATTAGGGGCGGCGCGTGCGCCGCCGCCGATCTTGGGGGCCTGCCCACCTGGCGCCGGCAGGAGGTTACTCCTCGTCCTCCTTCTCCACACCTCCCTTCATCGTTGTCGTCGCCGGCCTCCTCCTCCTCCCCCTCCTCGTCCTCCTCTGCCTCCCCCTCCTCCTCCTGCTCCTTCTCCTCCTCCTCCTCCTCCTCCTCCTCCTTCCTTCCCCTGCCCCTCATCACCACCACCGCCACCATCATCATCGTAGTCGTCGTCGTCGTCGTCGTCGTCGTCGTCATCAGCAGCAGCAGCAGCAGCAAGATCATCATCAGCATCATCATCATCATCATCATCATCATCATCATCATCATCACCATCACCATCACCATCATCAGCATCAGCATCATCATCATCTTCATCATCATCAGCATCATCATCATTAACCTCATCATCAGCATCACAGTCACCACCATCATCAACATTACCGCCATCATCATGATCATCATCATCATCATCATCATCATCGTCATCATCATCACCATCATGTTCATCATCGTCATCACCATCATCGTCAACACCATATTCCATCACCATCATCACCATCATAATCGTCGTCGTCTCGTCATCATCATTATCATTATCATCAGCGGCATCATCATCGTCATCCTCATCCTCATCCTCATCGTCATCATCATCGTTATCGTGTTCGTCATCGTCATCGTCCTCATCATCGTCAACGTCGTCGTCGTCATCGTCATCGTCATCATCGTCGTCATCATCACCACCATCGTCATGATCATCGTCATGACTATCATCATCACCATCATCATTGTCATCATCGCCACCGTAAGCAACAACACAATCAGCAGAACAATCATAATTATCGTCGTCGTCACTTTCATCGACGTCGCCAACATCATTGTCGCAATCGGCATCACTATCACCGTCACCACCCATCCCCTTCACCAGCATGTCCGTGGTCGTTTAGCATCATCATCATCACCCTCATATTCGCAACTACATCATCAGCATCACAGCGCCAGTATCATCAACATAATCAGTACCACAATCAGAATCAGTGCCCTCCTCCTAATTCTCGTCCTCCTCTTCTACATCAGCAACACAACCAACAGCATCACAGTCGCCACCATCGACAAAAACCCCATCATCGTCATCATCATCATCATCATCATCATCAGCATCATCATCATCATCATTATCATCATTATCACCATCATCATTCTCATCATCGTCGCCAGCGTCACCGTCATCGTCATCATCCTCATAACCATCATCAGTATCACCGCCATCATCAACATCATCAGCTTCATAATCATCGTCGTAGTCGTCATCATCACCAGCAGCAGCAGCCTAATCATCATAATAATCATAAGCAGTTTCATCAGAGTCATCAGCAATAGCATCATCATCAGCATCACAAGCATCGACATCATCATCATCATCATCATCATCATCATCATCATCATCGCCATCATCATCACCATTATCATCATCATCATCATCGTCGTCATCAAGTTCATCATCATTATCACCATCATCGTCGGCACCATCGGCACCACCATCATCATCAGCATCATCATCATCAGCATCGTCATGCTCATCATCACCATCATCATCATCACCGTCGTCGCCGTCAGCAGCAACAACAGCTGATGTTAAGCACCATCAATGGTAGTCGTGGTCGTCGTCACTGTCATCAGCATCATCAACATCATTATCCCAGTCGGCATCACCATCTCCGTCACCACCTCCTGCACCAGTATACAGTATATCCGTCGTCGCTATCAGCATCGTCATCATCATCACCACAATCATCATCGCCCTCAGCTTCGCATCTGCACCACCAACATCACACAGTCAGCACCGTAATCATAGTCAGAATCAAAATCAGCGTCCTCCCCCTCGTCCTCTTCGTCCGAGATTTCAATTTCGCCAACATCAGCCTCTTGTGGAAGGAGGCAGCCCAGCATTTTTTGGGAGGTTTAGAGGACGGTGCTGACAACCGGTCCCTCCGTGCCTTGCTTGCGCAGCTTCGGACTGCCCACAAAGGGCGACAGCTTGCTGAAGTGCTTTTGAACATCGCAGTGGGATGACCTTGGACGCTGTCGAAGAAGAAGGAACCAGGATTGGTGGAGGATGACACGTGCCCCCGCTGTCGTGAGTTTCCTGAGACGCCTCGCCACAGAAACTGGTTGTGCAAGTGCAACGACAACCATCCGGTGTTCAGTGACAACGACCAGTTGGTCGGACAAGCCCTGGCACAGGACGATGCTACTCCATGATTTTGGTACAGAGGCGTCATTCCAAGGTTGTGGACCTTGGTTGATCCGCCTCTTCAGGTCGAGGATTGGAGCCTCCTTGGGGACTCTGAGGGTGCCATCGGTCCTGGGTGCCTTGGCTCTGGCTCTTTAGGCGCCCCTCTCCTTGTCTTTGAGGATGCGTCGGGGGGACCCGAGTCTAGGGACGAGCAGCTCAGGCGTGTGGGGCTCTAAGTGGTCACCCTTAGACGCTTCAATCCTCTAGTTATCGGGCCCTCTATTGCTGGACATATTGCAGGAGATCGCAAGTCAGTCCCCAGAGGGGAGCCCAGGTGCTTAGAGGTTGCGATCAGGTACAGTATGGAGTATGGGTGTACTCGTCTACGTTACTGATAATCGAGCAGTGTATGAGGGGTGGCATGCTAAAGCTTATCGTGATCATTAGGGAGCTCTTGGGCCCATCTGGAGAGACATCGGGAAGCTCCTCGAGGCCAGAGACCCTACGTTCATTACAGTATGCTGGATACCGTCACACCTTGAAGCAGATGAAGGCTGCAGGCAAGGTGTACCGTTTCATTGTTTGCTTGGCAACGCTGTTGCCGACGTTATTGCTGGAGAGGCCGCCATGTCTGCCAGGGTAGAGGAGAGACAGCGTGCAAGGGTTCTGGACATCGAAGCCAAAGCAGCCCGTGTGAGGAGAAGACTGATGAGAGCGCAGTTGGAAGCCATGGCGGCCCATCCCACTCCGCTTGAGCGTGCCTCCCCACAGGTTTCCGAAGGCGATGCACGTCCCCCTCCTCCTCCTCCTCCTCCTCCTCCTCCTCCTCCTGCTCCTACTCCTCCTCCCCCCCAGCGGCCGCCCTCGGCCGCAGCAGTTGCAGTCTCCAACACCGACCACTGCCTGGACGACACAGGCGCGCGGTGCTCTCTTTGTTTCTCGTCATCATCCAAGGCCGCCAAAGCCGAGTGGCATAAATCATCTAGGTGTGAGGTTCCTTATCTTATCAATGATGTGCTGTCACGTCCTCCTTCGGGGTGTGGGGTCCACGTCGGTTGGGGGATGGGCCCATGGGTCCCACGCTATGGTTTATTCCAGGGCTGTGCGCGTTTGGATTTGCAAGGATTGCGGGGCCAGCGGCAAGGACCAGCTCCGATCTCTTGCAAGTCAGTCTCCCCGATCTGATCACTCACACACGTCGGGATTCTATCGATCGGTTCCTTCGAGGACTCCCACCGAAGGCTACAGGCTCGAGGTGAGGTCTTTCTGATGTTGCGTCACAAGTGTTATGATTCCTGATTCCTGATACCATCACCAACAACATCATCATCATCATGAGCATGATCATCATCATCATCATCATCATCATCATCATCATCATCATCCTCATCATCATCATAGTTGTGGTAGTCGCAGTCATCATCATCATCATCATCATCATCATCATCATCATCATCATTATCATTATCATTATCACGATCATCATCAGCATCATCACGTCATCATCGTTATCGTCATCATCGTCGGCACCCTTAACATTCCCACCATCAACATCATCATCGTCGTGGTCGTCAGCAGAGGCAAAAACATCACCAACACCATCATAATAATAGTCGTCGTCAATTTCATCAACGGCATCCGCATCAGTATTGCAGTCGGCATCACCATCACCGTCACCACCATCCCCTGCATCAATATATCCGTCGTCGTTATGAGCATCATCATAGTCATCCTCATATTCGCGTCTTAATGATCAACATCACAACACCAACATCATCAACATAATCGGAATCCTAATCATAATCGTTGTCCTCCTCCTCATCGTCACCACCACCAACATCACCATCATCATCATCATCATCATCATCATCATCATCATCATCATCACCATGATCATAATCGTCATCACAATCGTCATCATCGTCGTCGTCATCAGAAGTATCATCATCGTCAGTAGCATCATCATCACCACCACCACCATGACGACCACCACCACCACAATCAGCATCAGCATCAGCATCAGCACCATCATCATCAGCACCGTCGTCATCATCAGCAGGGGGGCTGCCCCCGCTGATGCGTCGACGAGGGCAACTAGGGTCGCGGTTCGCGCCGCGCGAAGCGCGAATAACCTGGCGCTCTCGCACCGCCCTCCCCCCAACCCCCATGGGAGATGAGGAGGGCGAGGAGGACGAGGATGAGGAATCGCGGACAGCTTCGCGCCCTCATGGCGGCCCTTGGTCTACAAAGGCTTGAGGAGCGCCACCAGGACGACGCAAAGGCGCCCACGAGCACCCAGACAACACAAGGCGCCCACGAGGCGCCCACGGGCATTCACCAGGCGAAAAACCAGAACAGGCAGCGAATTCCTGTTTGGGGGAAAAAACCTCCGTGTAAGCATTGTTTGGGGAGTGTCGAGTCCAAACCGGCGGTCTGGATGGAGTTTGAGTGTTCAAAACACCGGGAACGCGCCGAAATGAGAAAGACGCGATGACCGTACAAATAATTTCATATGGGTGTATGTGCATGCTTGATTGTGTAAGCGCACGCACCTACATTGATTTACGAGGACCACGCGCGTGCTTCGCACGCGCGTAGGTTCTAGCACAGGCACAAGCGCTGCCACAAGACATGGACAAAATGCCCAGACTTGTCTTGAGGTTGGCGCCCGCTGTCGCTGGCTTCGTGGCTCCCCGGTCATCTTGGGAGGAGTTCGGGGCCGGTTTGGGGCCCTTGGGGGTCTCGTGGGTCAATTCTTGGGCCGTCTTGGAAGTTTTTTGGGCCGTCC